CTTCTCTCCAGGTGACCTCTTCTGGGTGAAACGTCACAACCCTGGCAGCCTGGAACCTAGATGGGATGGACCCTACCAGGTGGTGCTGAGCACTCCAACCGCCATCAAAGTTGCAGGAAAAAGACACTGGATCCATCGTACACAGGTCAAGAAGGCGAACGACAGCATCGAGGGATGGCGGGTCCAGAGGACCGGAGACCCGTTAAAGGTCAGACTCACTCGGTGTTCATCCTGACTTTTCTCGTCTGAATGCAGCCAGGATTGGGAAATCCCCATTCAGCCAAGAATTACTCTTGGGAGGTCACACAGACTATTGATGGGACTGTTATAGGTTCTGTTGTAGGAGTAGGGGCGCCTGTCATCCGGACTGATCTCTGCAAACTGTTTGGAAAAAACTGGGGAAATTCCCATAGTCAATCCATGTCGACCAGGTATGGCTGGGGGGACCAACCCTGGGCCACCGGAGGCAAGAGTTATGGGTGCGGAACCTTGGCCCTAGAGCAAGGATTATGGCACACTGAACATTATGTCTGCCCCCGGGAAGGGGGTAGTGACTGTGGAGGAGAGGGCGACTTCTATTGTGCCTCTTGGGGCTGTGAGACCCTAGCCCTGTGGAAGAAACCTCCCACCAACAAGCTCCTCCGACTGACCAGAGAGATTCGACCTGGGGCCCCAAAGAAGAACTGCATTGTCGGAGATTGCAACCCCGTCATCCTCATGCCTCTTGCCTGGTGGACTGACCAATGGTAAGGGGGAAAGACGTGGGGGCTAAGACTCTATGTCAGCGGCCGAGACCCTGGCCAGCTCTTCACCATTCAGCGCCGGGCTCTTCCCCGGTGGCTCAATCCGAGTGGCCCCTTACTTTCCCTAGACAAACAAAAGAGGCCGAGCTTGTCACAGCACCCAGCCCCAGAAAAACCTCTTGGTTCCCCTGAGTCACAAAAACCTAGGAACCCCAGCCCTGCTCCATCTACAGAACAGCTTTTAGGAGCAGACTCAGGAAGACCAAACCAGCAACTGCTGAGAACTCTGGACTTAATGTTTTCTTTCCTGAATCGCACCTCTCCAAACCTGACCGCTGATTGCTGGCTGTGCCTTAACCCTGAACCCCCTTATTATGTTGGGATAGGGGCGGAGGCCAAGCTTGGGAGGGATGCCTCTTCCATCAGGAACCTTTCAGTAGGAAGTCTGCCGGACGGACTATGTATGTGGGGACACAAACAACCAGGACTCACTCTTGGGGACCTCCTGAACCCAGGGACTTGTGTGTACCCTAGGAACTACCCCCTTAGCAGTTCCACCTATACAGATCTATGTAATTCATCTATTGTATTTCCAAAGAATTATACAGGAGAGACCCCCACCTACTTAGTAGCTCCCGAGGGGACTTGGTGGGCATGTACAACTGGTATAACCCCTTGCATCTTCTCTTCAGCCCTCCAGCATCCGACAAACCCTGGACTATGCATTCTAACTCATATCCTCCCGCAGGTGTACTATTATTCAGGAGAAGGGGGCCGAGAACATTTAAACCTCGAGCCCAAGAGAGTTAGAAGGGTCCCCGTCCTAGTTCCCCTTCTTGTGGGAATAGGACTAGCAGGATCCACAGCAGTCGGAACAGCCGCCCTAGCAACTGGCCACCAAAATTATAAAGAATTAAGTAAGCAGATAGATAAAGATTTAAGCACTCTTGAGAACTCTGTTAGCCAACTGGAGGACTCCCTCAGTTCACTTGCAGAGGTGGTGTTACAAAACAGAAGAGGCCTAGATCTGCTTTTCCTAAAGCAGGGAGGCCTCTGTCTGGCCCTAGGAGAAACTTGCTGTTTTTACACCAACCACTCAGGGGTAATCAGGGAAAGCCTTAGCCAGCTACGTGAACGGCTGGCCGACCAAGAAGAGGCTAGAAGGGCTGAAGGCAATTGGTATGAAAATTTATTTTCTTGGTCCTCCTGGCTAACTACCCTGCTCTCCGCACTAGCAGGACCAGTCATTATACTCCTCCTAGGGCTAATATTTGGCCCCTGCATTGCCAGATGCCTCCGCAACTTCATACAAAATCGAATACAGGCTGTAAAGTTAATGGTTTTACACACCCAATACACCAGAATCTTAGAGGAGAACGCTGAATCAAAGATTTGATTCGGGCATAAGACCAGTAGGGAATGTTATGGGGTAGGGGACTGAGTCATGAAAAAGTTACAGAATGTTACAATGTTATAGAGTAAAGGGTTACGGAATGTGTTGGGGGGGGGGAATGAGACGTGTAAATTGAATGTGCTCGGAGGGAGAGGGGGGATGTATGAGTAAGAAGTGCGTCAGGGTCAGTGGAAGAAGGATTGTTAGATTGTCTTAGAAAAACAATGTGTTATGATATGCTCCAGCCAGGTGTGACTCTGTTTAACCTTAATGGAATGCTATGTAGTTAATTTTTCTTAACACTGTCTTGCTATAAAGGATCATACTGCACCCTTGGTCTCTACCACATGCCGCGAGGCTTCCCAGAGGGGGAAGGTACGGGCTGTGGTCAGCTGGCCAGCTTAATAAAGGCTATTAAATTTAAATTCTGAGTCGGGGGCTTATCTCGTTGAGCCAACCCATAACACTATTTTGAACCTTTTTTCCAAATGTGCATATTTGGATTCAATTTCTGATTGTTGTTATATTTCTGATTATAAAAAAATACAATAAATTTATAGAAAAGGTTAAATTATCAGAACCAAAGGTAAAAAACAAAATCCC